CGCCGCGCTGGCGGCAGGGGGCGCTTACATCGGCGGAGTCAGCCCACGCCTGCAGCTGCCCATCCTGCTCCCTGCCGGCGGCCAGGTCTTCCGGCCTAGCCACCCGTTCGAGCGCTTCGATGCCGAGTACCGCCAGCAGTTCCTGTTCGAGCAGCTGCCTGCGGATGAGGGCGGCCACTTGCCAGTGGTCCTGGTGTGGGGGGTGCTGCCGGTGGACACGAGTGACCCTCTGGACCCGCGCAGCAACAGCTCCCTGGTGAGCGACCCCGACTTCATGCCCAGCAGCCCCGACGCCCAGCAGTGGCTGCTGTCCCTGTGCCATGGAGCCCGCAATCAGAGTTTCTTCGGCTCGCAGCCACAGGGCTGGCCCACGCTGTGCTTTGTGGAGGCCCTGCAGCAGTGGATGGAGAGGCCGGCCTGCGCTCGCGTGGGGCCCGACCTCTGCTGTGGTCAGCCCGACTTCCCGTGGGCGCCAGAGCTTTTCCTGCACTGCCTCAAGATGATGGCCCTGGAGCAAAGCCCTGACGGCACCCGTGACCTGGGACTCCGCTTTAATGCCCACGGCAACCTGGCTGCGCTGGTCCTGCAGTTCCAGACCAACTTCCCCTACAGCCCTGACTATGGCCAGGTCCACCACTTCTACACCGAGGTCAGCCGATGGCTGGCAGCCGAGCTGGGTAGGGCACCTTCAGGCCTTCGCCGCGGGTGGTTCACCAGCCGTCTAGAGCTGTACAGCCTGCAGCACAGCCTGAGCACCGAGCCCGCGGTCGTGCTGGGCCTGGCTCTGGCTCTGGCCTTTGCCACACTGCTGCTGGGCACCTGGAACGTCCCCCTCAGCCTGTTCTCTGTGGCAGCTGTGGCCGGCACGGTGCTGCTCACCGCGGGACTCCTCGTTCTGCTTGAGTGGCAGCTTAACACTGCTGAGGCCCTCTTTCTCTCTGCCTCCGTGGGCCTCTCTGTGGATTTCACCGTCAACTACTGCATCTCCTACCACCTGTGCCCACACCCAGATCGCCTGAGCCGCGTGGCCTTCTCGCTGCGCCAGACCAGCCGCGCCACGGCAGTGGGGACAGCGGCCCTGTTTGCGTCCGGTGTACTCATGCTTCCTGCAACGGTCCTGCTCTATCGAAAGCTGGGCATCATACTCATGATGGTCAAGTTTGTCAGCTGTGGCTTTGCCAGCTTCTTCTTCCAGTCTCTGTGCTGTTTCTTTGGACCAGAGAAGAACTGTGGACAGATCCTCTGGCCCTGTGCCCACCTGCCATGGGATGCCGGAACTGAGGACCCTGAGGAGGAGAAGGCACGATCAGGGCCGGTGGCTCCTGGGTCCTGCTCAGAGCATTATGAGCTTCAGCCCCTGGCACGGCACCGGAGCCCCAGCTTTGATACCAGCACAGCCACCAGCAAGCTGTCCCATCGGCCCTCAGTCCTCTCGGAGGATCTGCAGCTACACGATGGTAACTGCTGTGCTCGGCCCCCACTTGCCCCTGCATCCCCAAGGGATCTGCTCCTGGATCACCAGGCAGTCTTCAGCCAGTGCCCAGCCCTGCAGACCTCCTCCCCCTATAAGCAGGCCGGCCCCAGCCCCAAAACCTGGGTCAGGCGGAACTCCCAAGAACAGGAGGCCGAGCCCCTGCAGGCCTCGCCGGAAGCTCTGGCTCACTCCCCCAAGCCCAAGGCCGAAGAGCTTCCCGACGGCCTCTGCCCCTCAGCCAGCACTCTGGAGGGACTCAGCCTCTCCGATGACACCTGCCTAAGCACCTCTGAGCCTAGCACACGTGTACAGGATTCCATGGGAGCCTCCCCAGAAGACCTGGATGACATTGGGAAGCCAGTGCCCGAGCTGGGCCAGCTGAATGGGAAGCGTGACACCCTGTGGCTGGCACTGAAGGAAACCGTGTATGACCCAACACTGCCCAACTCCCACCAGAGCACCTCCTCCTGGAAGGGCCGTGGGGGCCCAGGAGATGGTAGCCCTGTGGTACTGCCCAACAGCCAGCCAGATCTGCCCGATGTTTGGCTCCGTAGGCCCAGCACCCACACCTCAGGCTACAGTAGCTGAGGGAAGCCAGACCTGGGTGCAGAGCCCTGTCAGCGACACTGAGGCAGGGGCAGCACCGGTTGAGCCTGAAGGTATTTTCCTAAATCAACATGGAGAAGTCTCACCTTCCAACTGTGAATTTAAAACCCTGCCAAAAGTTCCAGCCTTGATCTGTCTGCTACTTACCCCCTACACCTAGAGGATTCAGTGGGGAGGGCCTTTGGAAGAAAAACGCCAGAGCTCATCTGCCCCCATGGTGCCAACAAGGACCCCTCCTCTGGAGAGAGGGGGAGGCCAGATGTGCAGCTCCAGGCATCAGGGAGGCTGACCTGACGCCCACACACCTGGCGAGTTCAGTGACTGTAAGATACCCTGGGCGCGAATCCTGCTGGGGTCCCTCACTGACCGGAAGAGCCCTTGGAACCTCCACAACCTCTTAGGTCTTGCCATCTCAATGAGTTCATCAGGATGCTGCTTCTCACTCTTCAGTGAGGATCTCTGGGCCAAATTTGGGCTAGAGCCTCTGTCCTGAACGGCCCTGTTCCGCTCACACTCCCTGATCTGACCAGAAGTTCTTCAAGGCAGAGATGGCTGCTGGGAGTGAGGCAGAAGAAAACAGACGGTCAGCCTTAAAGCATCCCAAAAGTGCAAGATCTCTCTTTGGAAGCAGGCTCCAGTGCTCTCCCCTGTTAATAAACAGTACTCATCCTTTCCATCCATGCACCTGTTGGTCTTCTCAGACTCACTACTTCATGCAGGGTGGCCTGCAGTTGGTCAGGTTCTTTTACTCCCAATTTGCAGGTAAAGACATTGAGACTAAGGCTGATTGATTTATCCAAAGTCATGTTGCCATCAAAGGCAGAGCAGTTTCCTGTTCATTCTACCACCAACATTCCAAGTTCTCCTGGCTACCTGCTTCGGGAACACTGATCCCTGGCTGTCTTGATCCCTCGCTTCTCAAACCGCCCTCCAGCCTGCCTATTCAGATGTCTCTTTGTGAATCCTGCCTCCCCTTTGAGCCTTTGTCTCCAGAGAGAGCTGTATTCTGTGCCAACCCCAGAGTTCCTTCCTCTCTCCCCTGTGTTTTCCTCTGGAATCCTTGGAGATGCCTACCCACCATGGGGCAGTGGGCTGATCTGACTCTCCAGCTCCAGAGGCTGTGCCTCTTCCATGGCAGTGAGGTGTGGAGAGGTCCTGAGGGTGAAGAGGCTGAGCAGAATACAATTAAGGCAGCAGCTCAGACCTGCCCTTTTGGGGAGTGAATCTGAAGCTGCTCCCCAGATCAGGTCCCAGTTTCTTAAGGATGGTTCTCTCTCGGGGGACACTCAGCAGACCGAAACCTGGCTTTCCTTCCCCAACACAGTCTGTCTTGAGGTTTTACCTGTGCAGCAGCTGATGACACTAGAGAGCATCAAATAGTAGCATATGGTATTACAAGGAAACTGAGTGTGGAAGGAGAATCAAACAACCAGCCTCATGAGTCCACCTTCTGGCTGTGGAAACAGGTTACATGCGCAGGCAGGCATTGGATGGGTTACTGCACTATTTCTGGAGCCCAGTACCCAGGAAGAGGAGACAAAAGGCTTCCTGAAGCTGGCAAGACTTGAGCTAGGCTAAGGAAGGCCAAGCATGTCAAACTAGAAGGGACTGTCCTGGTCATCATCAGCTCCAGAGCTTTGTACAGCCTAAGGACCCTTCTTTCACAGACCCTCCTATTAAAACATGTAGCAGCTACTCTGATGGGTGCAGGGTGGGAGACAGAGCCAGCCAGCCTTGCTTTCCACTATAGCTCTTCAGGGGCTCCGCAGAACTCCTCAGGCTGTGGTAGCCCACAGGTGGCATGAAAAATCACTGATCCAGGCCATTTTACAGATTATCTGAGAAGGGAATGGATTTTTTTCCAGGGCCAGACAGTCTGTGGCAAAGCTGGAGGTAAATCAGAGGCTGTATTTGTTCTATTCTGTCATGTTGCTGTGTTCTTGAGACCTACCTCCCACCCCAGCTAGTCTATGAAAAGTGGAGCAGGACCCAATTGAGACATAAGAATTACAGAAGAGAGAGCAGTCAGTGCAGCTGTCCCTCAGTATCCAAGGAGAATTGGTCCCACCAAAATCCAAGGATGCATAAGTCCTTTGTGTACAATGGTGTATTTGCATATATCCTACGCATATCTTCTCATATTTAAACTGTCTCTAGATTACTTATAACATGTAATATGATATATATGCTGTGTAAATTGTTGTTATACTGTACTGTGTTGTTTAGGGAATTATGACAAGAAAAAGTCTGTGTGTTCAGTTCTGATGTGATTCTTTTTTCCACTAATATTTTTAGTCAGTCCATAGATGCAGAACCTATGATTGATATGGAGAGTTGGCCATATAAATTAGCTTCTTGCAAGACAATTAACTCCTGGCTGGGCATGGTGGTGCATGCCTGTAATCCCAGCACTTGGGAGGCTGAGGCAGGAGGATCGCTGGCAGGATCACTGTGATTTCGAGACCAGCCTGGGCTACATAGTGAGTTCCAGGTCAGTCTCAACTACATAGTGAGACCCTGTCTCAAAAAAAAAAAAAAAAAAAAAAAAAAAAAAAGATAAGTAACTCCTGGCCAGGCAAGCAGCACACACCTATAGTCCCAGCTATTCAGGAAGCTCAGACAGGAGGATCATTTGAGCCCAGGAGTTCAGGGCCAGCCTGAACAACATGATGAGACTCCATTTCAAAAAAACAAAGCAAAAATTACTGATAAGCTGTGCACGGTGGCATACACCTATAATTCCTGCACTCTGGTGGCTGAGGCAGGAGGATCATCACAAGTTCAAGGCTCGCCTGAGCTATATAGAGAGTTCAAAGCCAGCCTGAACCAAGCTACATTGCGAAACCTTGTCTCAGGAAAAAAAAAAAGTCCTGGGCCGGGTTTTAGCTCAGTGGTACAGTGGCCTGCCTGGCAAGTGTGAGGTCCTGAGTTCCATCCCTGGTACAAAAAAAAAAAAAAAAAAAAAAAAAAAAAAACCTGACACCAGGAAAGCAATTGTGTGACTAGGACTAGGACTAATTTGGACCTGTCTCTCTGAGAGTTTCAGTCTCCCTCTTCTTCTCTCTTTCCCATACTGTGGATCACCACCACCCCCTTTTAAATTTCTTTTCTTTTCATGACAGGGTCTCACTAAGTTGCCTAGGCTAGACTGGGAACTTGCAGTCCTCCTACCTCAGCATCCCAGAGATACTGAGGTTACAGGCTGTGCCACCACATCCAGCTGGGTCTCCTTTTTTTATGTCCAAGTAACATTCAGTCTCTCTGGCCTACAGCTGCTCATCAGAGTCCTGGATTCTCTGTGATATGTCCCTCTTTCATCCTACAACCAGACTGGACAGCCCTGAGTTTACCAAAGTATGAGCCTTGGGGAGGACAAGGTGACCCATATCCCTAAGCCTGAGCAGCTCTGCCTTGGGCTGGGGGTGAGGTACTGTGTGCTTAGTATGTATAAGGTCCTAGAATCCACCTCCAGCACTAGAAAAAGAAAAGAGAGGGCAAGAAATGAAAAGAAAACAAAAGAGTTCTGCCTTGACTTGAAAGAGGACGCAGCATCTTCTGAGCAGCACACAATAGGCTCACTCTGTGTGGGGGACCAAGAGGCACATGAAGCCTAAAGAATCTGCTCCCTCTTTTGGGTCTTACAAAATGAGCTATTGTTGCCTGGGCCTGGGGCTTCAAACACTGCCTGAACACTGTCCCTGAAGGTTAGGGAGTATGGCAGGTGGGTGGATGGGTGGGCACCAGGAATCTGGGCACACCTGAAGGCCCTCTCAGGGATTTCTAGGTCCAAATCTTGCAGGCTATTGCCACATAATCCTACAGATAAGTAGATGAGTCAGAGCAGCTGATTTGTTGACTGGATTTGTTCTTGATATCACCAGGCCCAGAGAGCTGAAAGAATCCTGCCATCATCTAAAATGATCTCTTTAGGGCTAGGCTTGTAGCTAGGCAGGTGGAGTGCTTTAGCCCTTTTCTTCCTATTTCACATTGTCAATTATCTCATTAGGATCTTATGTACTATTATAGTTTGTTCACACCAGAGAAACTATTCGGTATTTACACGTGTGACTTATTTCACTTAGGAGTATATAATCAATATGTATCCATTTTCCTATGAATGACTCTAATTTCTCATTCTTTATGGATGAGTAGTATTCCATTTTATAGAAAAACCACATCTTCTTTATCTAGTTTCCAACTGATGGGCAAATGGGCTGTTTCCAAGTTTTAGCTATTACAAACTGTGCCGCTATAAACATGGGTGCGCATATATCACTGTGATGTGATTCTTTTAATTCTTTTGGAAAGATACACAGCAGAGGGATGGCTGGGTCAAATGGAACCTCTAGTCCCAGCTCTTTGAGGTATCTCCATATTGATTTCCATAGTGCTTGCACCAGTCTGCACTCCCACCAACAATGGAGAAGGGTTCCTTTTGCCCCACAACCCGGCCAACATTTGTTATTGAGTGATTTCTTGATAGCAGCTATTCTTTGTGGAGTGAGCCCAGCCTCATTTTCTATTCCCTGCTGGTTTCCATTCTTTGTCATGAACATCTGCTATTTTCTCCACCTTCCTCAGATATCCAGTGCCTTTTATCCCCCTGCCCCAACACCCACTTCCAGTGTACAGAAAAACTTCATTCTTCATAAAGAAAACTCCAGCCCTCAGGTCAAAAGATATCAAATTCCAATTTCCCAACCCACATCTCTACCTGCTTCTCTTCCCATTCCTTCTCTTATAACAAAGGAAGCACTTGGGCTGGGAATTCAGCTTGGTGGTTCTGCCACCTGCCTCATAAGCTTAAGGTCCCGAGTTTGATCCCTGGTACCAAAAACAAAAAAAAATAAGGAAGCAGTTAATGGCTTCACACTCTGAATCTGAGGCCTTTAAACTAGATCTCTCTCTCCATGAGCTTTTTCCACAAAAGAGATTTTCCCAAACATAACAGATGCAGATAGTTTTAAGGGATTCACTTTCCAGAGCCAGCTCCAACCTGTGTTCCCACTTCGTGTTGGTGGGCTTGAGGCTCCTGGCAGTTCTCCATCTGGGCCTCTCCCTTCCCAGTTTTCAGTCCTGCTCTGAAGCCTTCCACTGCACCATGAAGACAACCAGAACTAGTTGAAAATCCTCTGTGTCCGGAAGGCCTTGAGAGAGCAACACCTGGAAGAGCTTCTAGAAGTTCCTACACCTTCTCCTTTTAAGAATTCAATTTCAAGCCAGGTGTGGTGCCCCTACCTATAAATCTCAGCACTTTAAGGCAGAGGCAGGAGGAGTGTACATTTAAGGCCAGTCTGGGTTACTCAGCAAGTTCAAAGCTGGCTTGGACTATACTATATAGTGACTCCCTGACTCAAAACAAGCCAAAAGAATTCCATTTCAGGGCTGGGATGTAGCTTAGTGGGGGAGCACTTTGTTCACATAAAGAAATTTTGGTGTCATGGGGCTAGGGACGTAGCTCAGAGATAGAACTTATGCTTTAAACCACTCCTCTATGGTAGCATGTGCAAGGCCTTGGGTTCAATCTTTAGCACTGCAGTATTTTATATATATATATGTTGTATATTTTATACATATCCATTTCAGGGCCAAGGGTATAGCTCAGTGGTAGGACATATGCTTAGCATGGGTGAGCCCTGGGTTCCAATCCTGAATACCAAACCAAAAAAGAAAAACTCAACTTCAAAAGTGAGAAAGTCGACAAAGGATGCATATTAGTCACATTTATCTAAGTTCTGAGTGAGCATATAATATTAGGCCTTTTCTTTTTTTCTTTTTTGTCCATTTGGTACTGGGGATCAAACTTGGGACCTTGTGCTTATGAGTCAGGGGTGGTACCACTGAGCTAAATCTCCAGGCCAGGCCTTTTCTGATATTAAGTCTGGCAGAGCATGGTAGTGCACACCTGTAATCCCAGCTACTTGGGAGGCTGAGGCAGGAGGATTGCAATTTTGAGGATAGCTTGGGCAATTTAGCAAGTCCCTGTCTATGCTCAGAATGCTCTCCTCGAGAGGGAAATCACAGGTATGCAAGAATATGCCATCCAGAAGAGGCCTATTAGAACTCATGCTGCAGCATAAGGAAGAACAGCACACAGGCCTAACCCATGAAGGGTGTGAGGAGGCAGCTTATAAACTGCAAAACAGGCAGGTTCAGGCATGCCCAGAGCCAGCCTTTCTGTTTGGTCATGGTGGGGAAGGGCCCTTCCCAGACCTGAATGAGGAGGGCTGCAGCGGGGAGGAGCCACCCAGAGAGGCTGCAGGGTAGAGTCCTTTGTGACTAAAGCCCACTGCAACCAAAGCAAGTATCTCCCAGTGCACCTGGAGGAGCCCTCGTGCAGCAGTGCCAGCTGCAAGGTGGTTGGGCAGCTGCGGAATAAGATTTTCTTCTGAGGGATGTCAGGCCTTCTTTTCTATCCCATATTTTCCACAAGTTCTAAGTAGAGACTCAAAGCTATATTTTTTTAATTACCTAGTTTTGTGGGTTTTCTTTTTCTTTTTCTTTTCTGGGGGTGTGCCGGAGATTGAATTTAGCACCTTGCACTTGCAAGGCAGACAGCAGCACCACTGAGCTAAATGCCCAGCCCTTTTTTTTTTTTCTTTTTTCCTTTTTTGAGACTGGATCTCGCCTTGTGGTTCGGGCTGACCTGGAACTCACTATGTAGCCCAGGCTGACCTCAAACTCATGCCGATACTCCTGCTTCAACCTCACTAGTGCTGGGATTACAGGTGTACAATACCACACCTGGCAAAAATCTCATCTTTCTTAGCCCCTTCCTAATTTTTCAGTGCTAAGTTGAACCCCAGGCCTTGTGCATGCTGGACAAATGCTCTGCTCCTAAATTATACTCCCAGGTCCACCACACCCTTAACCAGACCCTCTTCCTCCTGAAGCAACCTTTTCCTTTCAGCTGACTCCTTCCCACCAGCCCACCATGGATCTGAGCATCTTCCAGAAAACCTTTCTTTGATCCCCACCCACAACCCATCTCTAGCTGCTGTCCAGTTCCTCTGTTCCAATCACAGCCTCTCTGGTGTTTGTTCCTGCCATCTGCTCTCTCTCACGTTCTTCCTTTCACTCCTTGCATTGTGGTTTCCACTCAAGTCTCCACCAGGATTTCTGCGCCAGACTCTCCAATGACTTCTTTGTTACTAAATGACAGTAAGTCCCTGGTTTATAAATTTTCACAGGTAGGAATGGCCCTCACATTATGAATATTCGTAGATGGGAACAAATCTCGGGGAAGTTCTCTCCTGTGCCTGCGGA